AATCACTCTGATAGCAGGACTTTGGGCTGCTCCTTTCAGGCTGCAGGAGGGTAACACTGAACGGGAGGGAGTTGCTGCGAGTTAAGGGGGCGTGCTCAATGGTGGTGGAGTGCTGAGTGGGCACAGAGCTGTACAACCCAGGCTTCCTGTTTCTTTGCAACCCACCATTTATTGTCTTATTGATCCTCATGTCAAAGTGGAAGGAGTCTTTGTACGTGTATGGCATGGGGAGGTCAATGCTCCCCTGCTTTGACAAAACCGTTTTGCGTGGCCTTACATTCTCCAGCTGTTTGTCCTCCACAACAGCTGTGTTCTCAGAAATCAGCTTAGATATGCGTTCCTCCAGGGTCTTCTGCCCCTGCTGCTTTGCATTGTCTTTGGGCTCCTGTTCACCTTGGCTTGGTTCTGAAGGGCTCTGTGTGCTGGTGATTTCTTTAAGATGTTCTCTGGTGGATTCAGTGAGGGAATCCATACTGTGGTCAGGTAAAACGCTAGCAGGGCTTGAGTAGTGATCACTGCTCTCACTGAAGCCTGAGTCTGTACTCTCGTGGCTCTGCGATTTCCCACTTGATACAGAGCTCTCCCACTGCTTGGAGAACAGAGTGGCCTCTTGTCTCTGAAGGGGAATATGTCGACTTACAGTTAAAAGAGGTTTTTCATTCTCCACCTTTTGTTTTTCCTCTTCTTTTGTTACCTTTGCACTTTCATTTGGTTCTGTCCTGTGACCTACAGGGGTTGACTCAGTCTTTTCACCACCAGACCCTTGTGTGTTTACAGAGTAGACCTTTGTAGTTTGGGCTGGACAGGTCATTGCAGGTAGTGTGGGATTCTTCTCCACGCTGCCCAACTCCTCAGTGGACTCATCCACAGACAGACTAGAGGCATGAATGTCCCTGGGGCTGGACATGCTGTCTAGGCTCCCCAGGCTGCTCTGCTCTGACTCGGATGAGAGTCGGGCATGAGCCTGAGTACGTTTATGTTTGTAGAGGTTGCTCTGAGTCTTAAAAGAAACTCCACAGGTGGTGCAGGGGTAAGGCCGTTCACCTGTGTGGCAGCGGAGATGCTTCTCCAGCACGCTGGGCTTCATACAGTCCCGTCCACAGTGAGAGCACACATGCTTTCCCTGGCTGCAGCAGCTGCAGCTGCCAGACTCAATCCTGGCTGAGACTGCAGCCCACCTGCAATATGGAGTGTCAGAAAAGGAAGCATCTCCTTGGAGTAGAGTGGCGGCATGGCCAGATGGAGTGTAGCTGGTCCCCAGGCATCTGCAGGAGGCTGCGGGTAAGGCTGTGCTGGTAGAGCAGGCACTGTGTGGATGTAAACAGCCGTCAGAGGGGCCTGGTTGTCCATCCTTTTCTCTGTCTGCGCTGTGATCGAGCTGTGCACTGAAGCACTTGCCAGTCCTGGCTTGCCAGTCTCCATGGTAACACTGCTGCTGTCGTGATGTAGCGGTGTCAGGTCTCTAATTACCTGAGAGATAATAACAGTTTGCATTAGACCTCTGCTTTACCTTAGATCCAAAGGGGCACATCTGTCTGTTTAAGTGGGGTGCTTCTAGGTCTTGATCTTAAAAAAATGAGACCTCATTCATGGGGAATATTTTGTTAATGCACCAGTGGAAGAGAGAAAATGAACAGAGCAATGAATAAATATACTACAGTAGTTACTGACAACAGACATGCAGTACACTTTAGTACAGATGGCTAATAACACATTTAATCCAGTCTGGATTTTTCATGGTGATAAACTCAAATAAGATAGATTTTTGCAGAAACACACACACACACACACACACACACACAAACATCTAAATCTCACTGATGGCTGTGATGAGTAATAATACCCATGGCTGCAGAGCCCAGAGAAAAGTGAAGGAATTTGAATCTTTACACTTTAATTTAAAGAGCAGGCAGTGCAGGAATACCGTCTCCTATGTATTTTTGTTTTGTATGCAGGCAATGGAAATGCATAACAAAAACATGGAAAGAGTTGTATACATACAGTAAGAGAATGGGATGATGTTGGAGAGTGACTCACATCAACAGAGGGGTGAGTGAGTCAGATCAGCTACTCAGACGCTACATCTGAGCCTTTTCTCTCACCATATGAAATGTGCCTGCTGACATTAGCTGTTGCCCCTGTCACCAGTCTACACCAGTTAAATGGCATAGCCTTGATGTTCACACAGGTACGTGGAAGCTTGACAGATTGTCATATTTGTGCTGCAATCTAATCAAAACATAAAGCTACCTACTATACATGAAAAAATAAATAGAATGATATTAGGGCAAGAAAACTTGATTTCCTGTTGCTGTGATACTGCTTCTACATGTATTGTGACTTTGCATAATTCACCCACAGCGGTACAGTTGGCATGGAGAGTATACAGCATGAGCACACCCACGTCAGATACTTTTTGTGTTGCTGTTCTAACTGATGAAAGTTTGTTGCTCTTCATATTCCAGTGAGTCTTCTGTGAAACCGAGAAGCACTGAGTGTGTTTTAAGTTTCTAAAACATTTTAAATTGGTAACCTAGAGCTACGCTCTTACTGTAATGTTCTTTCACTTCCTTACACCAATATTGTTATACATCCTGCTACTCCATGCAGAAATATAACTACAGGATGAAGTTGTAAATGAATAAGAGTGGTGTTTGATTCTGAAAGCACTCAGTTTGAAACTGCAAATATGCATGTCCTGGCAAAGGTTCAGCTGTACTGAAAAAAACTTTCTGCTTGTAGTAAGAGCAGCATTAGTACAACTAGTATCAAAATGTAAATTAAAAGGAAGAATTCAGCTTTCTTTTGGCAGCATGATAAAATCTCATGTGTCATTCTGTTGATCTCACATTGTGATTATTCTGACTTTGTTAAAGGAATGTATGGTAAGAGGAAACATCTGATGGTGCTGCCATCACACAGAATAGGTAAGAGTAACACTGCAGGAAATCAGAACATGCCCTAACTAGGCCAAAAGTCAGGCGCAACAGTCAAGAAAAACAGAAACTGTCAAAAGCAATCAAGTCACTTACCGTCTTGCTTCTCACTAGAATCAGTATCAGTTATCCAGACAGTCTTCCATACTGAGCAGCCACAGCCTCGATATACCTGCTTTTCAATCTGTTCTACCATCCAGCTTATGTGTGTGTCTCCAGTATGATTTTCCCTCACAGCTCTTTGACATGAACTGTGCTTGTCATGAGGAAGCGGAACAAATGCAAATGAGAGAGAAGATGCACTATGAAAGTGGTGAGGCAGAGAGGAGGAGAGTGAGGGAAGCAGAAGGGCTGGCTGGGTGGGTGTGGGGCTGTCAAACAAAGACTTCCGGAGGACAAGTTGAAAACATAGATTACACAAAGTGATCAGCAGGAGTGAAGGAGCACAGAGGCCCTGAGCACAGATGGGAGGATTTAAAGCTAAGGAAAAGTGTTGTGCAGAAGTGAAAGTGTAAAAGTGCACAGAGGAGCTTACCTTCAACAGTCACGTTGACTGAATGACTGACTTTACCATCACCAGTTTGAAGCAGTACCTGACTTCTGGCTCACTTATATACACGCTCCCCCACCTACCTCCTTCCTCCCACACACTGTATTTCATACACCCACACAGACAAGTGTGCAGCAACAGTAACGCTGATATGGCCGCATGGCTGCATGTGCATCACTCTCACTCTCTTAGGCAGAGAACAAATGGATGTGATGTAAGTGGTTGGGGTGAATTTTTCACCTCCAGCCACAGCCCCCATTGCAGTATGTATCATTTTGTAGTGCTACACCAGTTCACATCACACAAGCTTACAGTACCGGTAGTAAAAATGCCCTTTTTGAAATGATAATGTCTCATTTGTATTAACATTTTTTGCTGCATTTACTGTTGGTGTTTTAATGAACAAAACAAAAGTATATGAAATGCAATAAAAAAATTTACTGATCTGTTTAAGAACCAAAACTCTGAGAAATAGTGAGGTGTTATTTTTGGAAGCAGAAATTGGTAAAAAGGAGCAGTAAACAAAAAAACACATTTCTTTCATAGTACAGTGTCCATGAAGTAATTCTTTGCTATTTTTTTGCTATTCAGGTCAGCATAAAAAGACAAAGCAACTAATACTTTTTAACATACCACACCTATTATTTGTCCACATAGCCACACAGTATGAGACAGTATGTACCTTTCTGGACAGCTCTGACACAATGCAGCTGGTTTCAAATGGCCTGTTAAAAGATCGTTCAAAAAATTAATCTGTAGGCATAACTCCACCACGACTGCACTGAATTTACTTGAATTAATTAATATTTTAGCAACATGGGTGCAGAGGTAATCAGTTATGCATTTTATCAGCTTGCTCCTGCTGA